GCATTTGATGCCGTACTTGGATTGTTTTGCCACGAGTTCCCGGCATGCAATGCGCCAAAGTCACGTGGTCTGTCAATCTCTATAGTCTGAAATATCAAGATATCAGACTTTTAAATCACCAAATATTGGTATCAGTATCAGGCTTCCAAAAATCCGGTTGGGCTCTATTTATCCTGATGTACTAGACTAAGGTTGATACTACTTGGAAAGTAAGTCCTGAAAAAAATGTGAATAGCTTTCATTTGGCAGCTTTAAGTTAGTTATTGAGACTTTTTGGTAGCATTTTCTTTCCCTCAGACTGACGTCCAGTCCACCGCATATTGATGGGAATTTGAGCCACATTAAAGCACGATTTAAGGGCCATACAGAAATTCATTTGTGTAACAAAACCCTGCAGATGATCGTTTGTTTAACAACACCGCTGCACTAATGAGCGAGAGTTATGTGTTCCACATTTTATTTTGAAATCACGGCTCGCTCGGATGAACAGTGTTTGCGTTTTAACTTAATTAGCTGATGGCCTGAGCAGCACCATCTGTGCAGACACAGAGTAGTGAACTGATTTGAGACGGTGTCTGTTAAACTGATCGTATGGTATCTGCATTTCTTTTTAAAAACCCGCTGTTTTTGTTTGTTTTTTTTGGATGCCATTGTTACCTTTCTCTAGGCTCCAGCTTCAGTCCCCGGGCCACTACTCTCACCTTGAGGCCTTCTATGAGGACAAGAGAGCACTTCTGCCCCCTAGTGGAGACGCTGTTGTCACTGCGTTACCAGCCAATGCTTGGAGTGCAGCAATCAACCACAGCATGCATCCCGAGATGAAGGTGGGATGGACCATTTTATTCCTAAAACAGTTGAAATGATCATTTGTTCTTCAGTAATGCATGTTTCTTCACTTGGATACATGTGGAGCAGATCACCCACCCGGCCGGCTGCATGTCCCACTTCATCCGCTTCTTCGGGGAGCAGATCATGGTACTGTGGAAACTGGCTCTCCTCCGCCGACGCATCCTCATCTTCTCTCCTCCACCCGTGGGTGTGGTCTGCTACAGAGGTGAGAAACATCTGGATGAAGGTTGACTTCCCTGTTATTGCTTGTCATCTGTTTCTTTCCAGAAATGTTAATCAAGTCCTTAAAAAACAGAATCAGCCAATTAAATCTTTGTTGTTTACTAAGCTGTCACGGTGTGGGGATTTCACGTCACAGGACAAACACATCACGCATCACGTGCACATTACCTGCTCTGCTCCTCTCGGTCTCCCCCACACTCGTGCATCATTTCTCTAATTTCTCCCTCCACCCCGTCAGTGTACTGCTGCTGTTGCCTGGCAAACGTCTCTATCCCCGGGGTGGGCGTGGCCGTGCCCGAGTTCCGGCCCTTCTTCTA